CAAAATCTTGTCTAAGGTGCTACTGGACTTGAATCTACTTGGGAGAACCTGAATAACTGTAAAGGACTTCTGAAGCCACCAGGGGGAGTAAGTGGAATCAGCATTAGAAAACACAGATCACTAAACTGAAACTGGAGTCTGAGCATTCTGATATCCCACCTCTATTACCGTTACTATCCGCCCTGTCCTCCATTAAACCAGACAAAGATTGCAGTTCAGGAAACGCATGCTATTGCCATGACCTGACAGATTGTGGGTGCATTGGATGTTTATTGTGTACAGGGGTCATTTCCTGCAGGAGCACACAGGGGCGGAGATCCGGCGGTAAAGAGCCCAGGGGGCGGGCACATGCAACAAGCCCACCCCCTGCTCCCAGCAGCCCCAGGCCACAAGGAGCAAGAAGCAGCCAGGTAGGTTGCAGAGCCCCTCCCCAGACAGCAATCCAAGAGTCCAGTGACACCTTTAAGGCCAAGGTTTATTCAGGTACAAGCTCTCCCTCCTCTGTGAGGGCAGGTCTGCGTGTCCCCCCCCCCAATAGCTAGCAATCCAAAACAGTCCAGTGGAGCCTGAGCGGTGGGTGTTGCCTTCCGACACACTTCCGGTGATGTCAGGGGGTGTGGCATATGCAAACAAGTTATGCTAACGAGTTATGCCAATGAGCTCTTGCAGCGCTGTTTCTACGAAATGACCCCTGATTGAGATTCTATCCTGGCTATATGGACTCAATAACTTCCCTGCAGCTAGGTTCCAACAGAAAAGCATCCGAATGCTTCTGAGGATTTCTCTTAGCTTCTTGGGAAACAGGGCAGGCTCCTGCTACAGCCAGTCTGGTGCAGTGGTTAAGTGCACGGACTCTAATCTGGGAGAACCGGGTTTGATTCCCCACTCCTCCACTTGCACCTGCTGGATGACCTTGGGCAAGCCATAGTTCTGTCAGAGCTGTCCTTGAAAAAGAGCAGTTTCTGTCAAGAGCTCTCTCAGCCCCACCTACCTCACAGGGTGTCTGTTGTGGGGAGGGGAAGGGAAAGGAGTTTGTAAGCCGCTCTGAGACACCTTTGGGTAGTGAAGGGTGGGGTATAAATCCAATCTTCTCTTCTTCTTCTGCTTGTGGTTGTTGTGGGGAGGGGAAGGGAAAGGAGTTTGTAAGCCACTCTGAGACTCCTTTGGGTAGTGAAGGGCGGAGTATAAATCCACTCTTCTCTTCTTCTTCTCCTCCACTTGCACCTGGCTGGGTGACCTTGGGCAAACCATAGTTCTGATAAGAGCTGTCCTGGAAAAAGAGCCGTTTTCTGTCAGAGCTCTCTCAGCCCCACCTACCTCCCAGGGTGTCTGTTGTGGGGAGGGGAAGCGGAAGGAGTTTGTGAGCCTGAGACACCTTTGGGTAGTGAAGTGCGGGGTATAAATCCCATCTCTTCTTCTTCTTAATTCACGCACCTGCTCGTAGATATACAAAACACGGGCGCCCCCCCTCCCATTTTATAAGATTTTTGGGGTCTGAGCTCTTTCAGTTTCCGAACCTGGCTGCTTGTCTGTCTTGTCTTAACTCTTGTGGGTGGATTATCAATTCAACGGTGGAGCTTGACTGAATTTTTAAAGCCGTCCATCTGGATCAGGGCAGTTCGGCTGTGTTACTGTTAGACCTGTCGGTGGCGTTCGACATGGTCGACCACCAGCTATTGACTCACCGCCTCGCCGACACTGGGGTTCGGGGGTCTGCCTTAGAGTGGCTCTCCTCGTTCCTTCAGGGTCGGGGACAAAGGGCGGCCATTGGGGAGCAGCTGTCCCGAAGGCACCCATTAGTTTGCGGAGTGCCCCAAGGCTCGGTGCCTTCCCTGATGTCATTCAACATCTACATGTGCCCCCT